AAGTCGAAATAAATTACATTGCAAAAATAAACTTTGAAAATGGTAGTTCACCGAAAAAAAATAGAAATAGGCTAGGAAAGAAAGAACTTACCAATAAAAAAACCAGCCGTCAAATTAATATCAAATTGTGTTCTAAAATTAATTGTTTGTAATGATGTGAATGCGTAACATAAAATTATAACATCACAAAAAGTAGCAGGTAAACTTCAAGAGGTAACATATAGGTTAAAAACAAGTTTTGGGAATTATTATGGGTCAGGTAAGCAGGTACCAAGATTCTAAGAAAGGGTGAAATACACAGGATGTGACTCATCTTTGGTGCAATAATAAAGGCCTTTTGTTAAAAACAAGATGGAAAATTACATGGCCTTGTAGGCAAATTTAACTCAAGACGAAATATGTGGAAATTACGAATCGTAACTCATTTATCGCACATAGATCCTAAACTGTTTTGATTAGCACTATCTCGCCCCCGCAAGATAGGTAGCGTCGCCCCTCGTTCGGGGTTTCGAGCCTACAGTTGAATGTCGAAGACAATCACGGAATTAGGTGTCGTAGCTCAATTTTGACTACAGTTTTTACCACCCCCTGACTGCTTCGTTTACGGAGAAAATTGTTAGTAACAAACCACAAGTAAGTACATACATCAAACGAATCGGTAATTTCCACATATTAAAATAAATGATCAAAACTTATATGAATGTTACCTCAGGGACAAGAAATGCAAAGATACTACCTGCATTAAATAACACAAGATAACAACAAACATTTATGTACCGACGCCTTCGCGACCGCCATTCAAGACAAGATGCCAAACGTAACCCACGTTCCTGCTTTCTAGATGGCGCAGGCAGCTTTTCCCCTCTTAGAAATTGCATGGTTGCCAACTCTCAAAAATGTGTGTATCGTCGTCAGTTGGAACAAACAGGGTGTAACCTCTCAAGCTTAGGAGAATACCTACGTATCGAGCTACATAGTAACTAACCACTGAAAGCGAAATACAAGAAAATAGGAAATGGTAAAATACTATTGGATATGGATCGCGTCATAGGTGACTTCACTGAAACAAAGAAATGAAACAAAGCAAAACGTAGGAGAGCTCGAATCTTCAAAGCAATCTGTGGTCAATGTTTGTTCCAACGTCAGCAACTCACCCGGGCCGATTTCGAATTGGGAGGAGTTTGATTTTCTGAAACTAGACGCTGCGACGGAAAAAGACGCCTATCCTTTTCCATGCATTACTCCAATTCTAGATTGTTAACGTGACGCTCGCCATTCACCTAGTTTAGACATACAGTTTGCTTATTGGCAAATTCAATTGTCTACCTAACCCTTAAATGCTTTTACTGGTCAAGGTCGTGGATTATTTCAATTCACCAGAATGCCATTTGGCTTACACAATTCTGCCGTCGCCTTCCAAAGGTTGGTCGATCGCGTTTAGGCGCTGATGATATTGTGAGAGCTACGTCTATCTTCGAGAAGCATTTGGAACAAATCTTTCTGACCTCGCGTAAACATAAAATTGCATATCTGTACACCTGAACTGAAATATTTAAGGGATGGTCTTCTAATATACCCCTCCCGCCTTTTAATGTCTCAGACGCCCGTCGAGTTATTGGTGTTATAAGTTGGTACCGTAGGTTCGTTCCAAATTCCTTTACTCTCGTTTCTTTTTCAGTTTATTTAAGGAGGAAGAATGCTTTTTTGTACCACGAATGTGATTCAGCTTTTGTTTAAAAGAGTAGTATCGTCCCCATTCTTTTCTCTCCTGATTTTTCTCATCAAACGGATGTTTCTAGTTATGAAACTCAGTAGCATTGCGTAGTCTTCCATCTAACAATCATTACCTCTTATGTAAACCAGTAAATTAATCTCTTTCAATTCCTCTCGTATTCTTCCCATTTTTCATGTTCTATTTATTAGTCTACTCCTTGGTTCCTATAATATATTCATGTCCCAGCTCACCCTTCTATTTCTTCCTCTCTTTCTGATATTTGTTTTTGGCCCCACCCCCTTCATTTCCACGGAGAATGACTGGTGGTTGTGAATGTGGAATGGTGAATGCGGAGAGGGTGACCTGGACGGTGAAATCATTCTCAGCATCACACATCACTAGGACTGGATGGTATAATACCAGGGAGAATCCCCTGCTATTCCAAGAACACCCCCAATTTACAAAGTCCGTGAAATATCTAGGAATCACACTTGACAAAAAAAAACCGAATTGTAGCAAACATCAGCTATCAAACATCTCTCACAGCCGTCCTTGATTTTCAATTTGAATGGCCCCATAAACAAGTACCATAAAACATATTTTTAGTTTCATTTACGTATGAGAAAATTATTATAAAGTCAATTCCAGCACACACTTAATGTTTTTATATGTGCAATTTTATCATTTTTTGTAAGGAATCCTAAAAAGGAAAAACAAATTCAAAGGTAAGGGAAAATTACAAACTAGGACGAAGCAAACAAGATACGAAGAATCGTATACGATTTTCTGCAGGGGAATTTTGTGCTACTCAGCTCGTATTCGGAAACAAGACTTTTGATCCGGCTCATATTCAATAGCACTGATCCTTGAACTCGTAGAAACCGATAGGAGAAAGTTTGACGTCGCTATCTCTTTTCGTTCTCGAGATAGAAGAGGAACAGACGGATAAAACCATCACATAAGGGGAAATTTCTATCTTTCGAAAAATTCCCCTAAAAAAGAGAAAGTGCCGGCAACAACAAAGAACAAAATTACTAACCTAATGGATATGCAATTAACGTAAAAAAAATCACGAAGCTAGCTCACGATTTCTTTTCCAACTCCTCGAATTTGGAACTTGAAATTGTTTGATATTATAACAAGATTTGAGAACAAATGTGAAAATTAAGGTTTCTTGAAAAGAACAATTCGAGAAAGGATGGGCAAGATTTGGATAAGATTCCAAGAAGAAATTCCTATTATATCGATCCTCCTCCACCATTAAAGGCCCATCCTGTGTAAAGTGAGTGAAAAATGTTGAGCGCGATATTCTCCCCAAGTCCTTGAAACGCAGGCAAAAGGATGGGATGGGTCCTCCTGCTCACCCCCCGTTCGTAGTATCCTCGGTCGTCATGGGAATAGATGTTGCATCTTCGTCGGTACCGACCACTCTCTGTAGCCGCCCTGGGCTCTCCCGCTATAATTTTGTACGCCTTGCCCCACACGTTTTCGAGATTCAAGCACAGCGGTATCAAGCAATCCTTTTTGCTGCATTCCACCGCAGTCCTATAACCCTTCATATGGGCTCGGTACTCCTCCTCGTATCGCGTCTTATCTCCATCGGTTCTCCTGGGTGCATCAGTGGACATCTAACCCGCCCATCGACAAATCACGTGCTCCAGGTCCTGGTGCGTTTGCGACTTCAGCACTGCGCCCCCCAGGATCTCCTCAACTTTTTGGACCCCCCCTGGCCCCTTCATTCGTCTCTTCGACCTCGGGTTTATTTTGTGTGCCGCGTGCCTCCAGCCTCCAAGCGATGTATTTATGGTCGCCGAGGAACTCCTCCTTCTCGACCTTCCAATCCCGCGGCTCTCGTTGGCGCAAGTGACATCAATGATGGAGTTTCTGTCTCCGCTTTCGAACGTGAGGCAGTTTCCTCTATTCAGAACCACGAGGTCCAGTGAGGCTATATCATCTCCTCCACTTCCGTTCCGCATCTGTTAGTCTCCAGAGATTCCCAGGAGTTAGTTCATTCTCCCGAAAGAATAATTTAACGATCGCTCGCTCCTCTTGGCTCTCTAGTTAGCTCCCCGAGATCGCCCCTCAGCTCTCCTACACCTTGTAGATCTACCCGCACAAAATTCTTTCCGGCGCGCCCTCTTTGAATTTCTATCGTATCGCTACAAATCGCGACGGATTGCAACTTTACCCGTTTCCTCCTTAAATAGTACCGGACTCCAGGATTTGAAACATTGATTCACGAATTTCTCCATTTTATTATTTTATGCACATTTTATGGTGTCGTACAGCAAATTTTCAAATATCTTTAAAAAACCCTCTTGCCTCGAACATACTGTATATGTATTTAAAAATTGTGGGGTGTATGACATTTTTTGCCCTCTTTCGTCTGTCTTGCTCTCGATCGCGGCCGCAAAGATATATGTCTTTTTCATCCTTCTTCTCCCCCTCTTCCTTTATGACCGCCTCTCTTTTTTAAAGGTGGTCTATACCTCCCTTGAGGCGGGTTTGCAAGTTTCCCACACGTTCGCGAATTCTGGCTGATCTTGCACCTTATCCCTCACGGCTGTCTTATGTAAGGCCACTTCGTTTCCCAACAAGGTTCTCTGACGCTTTCCTCGGGCCACATACAAAAAAACGCTCACGGGTTCCCGTTACAGTACCCCCCTTGAAACCCTTTGATGACCGAGGAGATACGGGGCTTTACTGGCGCAAGGAAAGAACAGACTCGGTGTGTCGAAGATGCAAGATGGTGATTACGGACGAAGAATGGGCCAGGAAAGAAGATCTAGGTATTTCAAAGGGGGTACTGTAACGGGAAACCGTGAGCGTTCTTTTGATTTTTTTTGTTAATAGTTTCCGTGTACGTCAGTTATTTGATTTGCTTTGCACTTTCTTTATAATTTAGAAGTATTTCTTCATTCAATGTACCTCTCTACTTAGTCTTTATGCGGTTGTTCCGGGGGTACTTCCGCCTCCCCTATTTATCTCTTCAGGGAATTGCTTTCGTTGTCGCGATCTAGCGATTTACAAGCTCCCGATTATGTAGGTTAGCTGCCTTAATTAAGAAAATTAGTTTGAAAGGGGGTACTGTAACGGGAGCCCGTGCGCGTTTTTCCGTGTACGAACTTGTCCAGTTATTTGTGTATAAAGGGCGAGGAGACTGAAAGTCGGGAGATATGGCGAAATTAAGGAGAAATAATGTACGGTCGAGCTGAGTCATATCCGGTCGTTGATAACGAGAGCTACGGAGCTTGAAAACTGCACTGCCTCTGGATAGGTAGCAAAAGTAATTAGAAATATTTATTGTATAAAAGCGCTAAACTAATTTAATACAAAACTTAATAAAATGAACATGTACAGGAAAAAAAATCACATTGAACACTGGTGCCTAGGACTTAAAATTAGATACTCTTCGAAGCACATCAATTACTGGAAAAAATTCGCTCTTCGCCAACGCGAATTATTCAAATGACATTAAATTTGCGGGCAACGGATTGGTCTCGCCCGACGAAGCGTGCTGTAAGCGACGGCACCATTTGTCCGCGGTACTTTGGCTTCCCGTTTTGAATTTGTAGACATTTCCTAAAATCGCACGCACGTAAAGTACGCAAATGAATGCCGGAGGAACATACCTCGATGGTGATCGATAATGTGAAATGTGTCCAAATGCAACGGATTATCACTAAGTTTTACGGTACAACCTACAAGTGACATCATTTTGCAAGGTTCACTTTTAAAATCCGAACGGCGAGAACTGTAAAATGGGTTATGTTATAATTGTGATTAGGGGGCACATATTTAATTACCCTTTAAAATTCTTAGGAGAGAAGTAAGCTAAAGAAGACGCCCAAATTTGAAGCCAGTATCTCTGCCAGGATGCGACAGCCGGTTTGCGGCCTTCTTTCAGTATTGCTTTTCTTCGCACACAACCTTGCATTGTATTAAAGCTGTCATTGGTCAGCAAAGCCTCATCAGTCGACCTAAAAAAGTGCGCGAGTTACACACCGAGTGACAAACCACCGGTACCTAGACAGCAACGTGCAGTCTTCCTCCGATTGGAACGACGCCCGAAAAGGAACTTCAGTCGACGGCGACGGCGGATCGTTGCCGCCGAGGCACATGGTCTCGTCCTCCAGTTCCGAATCATCGAGCAGATGCAGACCCTTGGCGAATTCCTTCACGTCGATCGACGTGCCGCCGTGAGTTTTGCCGAACAAACTAAACGTCGTCAATTAGTGTAAGCGTAAGTGGGAAAGGGACGGTTTCAAATGACTGAGACGTACTCATGCAGCATAGCACAATAGCAACTTGCAAGACAACACCATATTTAACTTACCCCCACGATACCGTTACAGATGATATACCCTGTTTGTTAAAATTGCGAGGAAGACTTGCGCTACGAAATCTAAACAGAATTTGGCCAGCGTCAGAATTCGGAAATAAATTCGTAATTTCTCCCCACCCACATTTATGCGTCGTGTCATTGAACTAATTTAGAAAATTTGATCAATTCTGCCTGTACTGAAAGGCGAGGTCGAGTTCATTTTTTGTAATTTGCTATCATATAAAATGAACCTAAAAGATACTAATATTCTAACATTTGCGTTTTCTATGATCAACGGTTTTAATTTAACCCCCCCAAAGTAGTATCACTTTTTTTTAGATATTGTACTTCCTTGGTTCGCGATTTAGCCAAAGTGGGCCCTCGTAAAAAAATGGATGGATGGAGATTCGAAACGGGCATAAAGAAGAAGAAGGGGAAAGAGAGATCAAGTGCGAGAGAGGATTATGTAAGAAATAAGCTCATGATTGGTTCGCGCGAATTTGTATTTCAGTGTTTGTTTTTCCTTTAGAATTGTTTGTAATTGCGTAGTTTTCGTTTTAATTTTATCGATTTTAAATAAATTGTTCAATTTTATATACATTTAGGCACATCTGATCAAATTTACGTACTTTATAAAAGGTCGTTACGATAACGGCTTCTTGTTTCGTGACGGTTGAAGGGCGTGTACATTTTTTGACGTTAATTTTAGGGCAGTCGGCCTTATTTGTTTAGTTGTAGGCGCAATTCGTCATTTTTATAACAAATTAACGCGTGTTGCCCGATCTCGGAAAAAGTTCGGTCGGGTTTCTTAATAAATGCTAAAAGTTTCTACCGTCTGAACAGCCACCGAAACTGAGGTTTGAAACGGAAATGAAGGGGAAGCGGTGAAAGGGGTTTTAAAGAAAGCGCAGAATGAGAAGACGTAAAGGAGGCGCAAGGTGGGTTTAGAACCTAAAGAAGACGCTTAGAAAACTTACAGAAGGTGCAAAAATGACGTGAAGGAAGTGTGACAGTGGGAAGAGAAGCGCGAATCGGATGACACACAAAGTAGATGTGAAAAAGAACGTGAAAAGAGCACGACGAAAGTTTGAAATGAGTATGCAGTGGAGGGGGAGGGCACAGGAAGGACGAAGGCGCAAAAAAAGATGTGAATAAAACTTGAAAAACTCGTGAATAAAATGTGCAAGAGACGCAAAGACGAAGTAAAGTAGGTGCGAACGAGACAAGAGAGAGGTGAGAAAGAAAACATTAAAGAAATGTAAAAAAGGGGATGAAGAAAGTGTAATAGAGGTTAAAGATAGACATGCAAGGAGGGCAGAAACAGATGCATGCGAAAGATTGGAAGGAAATGCGAAGAAAGCCTAAATGAGACGTAACAGAGATGCAAAGAAGACGTGTGAAGTCGTAGAAAAGGCGAAAACGGTGTAGGTACCTGAAGAGAAAGTGAATAAAATAGGGACGCACATTCGAGAGTAGTGTAAAAGTGGCCCGAAGAGAACATAACGAAACCCTAAAGATTGGGTAAAGAGGCGTAAAAATGACGTGAAGAGGTTGAGCTCTGAAACGATAATGAAGGGGGTGTGCAAAGGAAAAAAGGCTTGTAGAAGTCGTGAATGAGACGCGAAAGAAAGAAACGTGAAGAAATCGCGAGGGAGGTGTGGAAAAACCTTAGAAAGTGGGCATTAAAAGACGTGAAGAAGATAAGACAGATGTAGATAGGTCTGAAAAAACGTTTCGTATTGACCGTTGATGACCTTGAACATGTAATTTGACACAAAAATGGTACAATTGACCTTGAATGGCCGTGCACATGTAATTTGACACCACAACACATTGGGTCGTTGGCCTTGGATGAATATGAAGTAGCATACAATCATTGAACTCGGATGGTCTGGAAATATGACAACACAAAAAAGGAGTCATTGGCCTTGGATGACTTTGAAAATGTAAGTTGACATCACAAACATGTTATCGTTAGCCTTGGATTACGGAAATTTAATGTATCACCTCAAAAATTGGGTTAATTGACCTTGTATGACCTTGAAATGGTAATTCGACACTACAAGCAATGCGGTCATTGACCTTGTATGACCTTGAAATGTAATTTGAGCCCACGCAAGTATTGTCATTGACCTTGCGAGACCTTGTGAATACAATTTGACACCCCACAAAAATGAAATAAGGTAGTTTTCATTTTAATTTTATCGATTATATACATTTACGCACATCCGGTCAAATTTAGTATTTTATAAAAGATCGTTGCGATAACAGCTTCTTGTTTCGCGACGGTTGAAGAGCGTATACATCTTTTTAAGTTAATTTTAGGGCAGTCGGCCTTATTTTTTCAGTTGTAGACGCAGTCCGTCATTCTTATAACAAATTTAAACGAAAGGTAATTCGAAACTACAAGCAATGGGGTCATTGACCCTGGATGACCTTAAAAATATACTTTGACTACACAAAAGTAGCCAGTGACCTTTAAACGTCTTAGAAATGCAAATTTGACACACCACGATCAGTTTTACCACTACATCTAGTGACTATAGCCGTTTAGTTTAACAAAAATGAGGGTATTGACATTAGATGACCTTGAAAATATAATTTGAACCCCAAAAAAGGAGTCACTGGCCTTGGATGATCTTAAAACTGTAAAAGGAGACCATAACAATGTTGCCGTTGACCTTGGAAATCTAATTTGACACCAGAAAAATGTTTGCATTGACCGTGGGAGACCTTGAAAATGTAATTTAACACCACAAACATTGGCGTTGTAAGTGTAATTTGGCACCCAAAAATGAACTAAAATAACAAGATTTCCTTTTGAGACGTCATTGGCCTTGGATGACCTTGAAACTTTTTTTGGTTACACAAAATAGTCATTGACCTCTGATGATATTGGAAATCTAATTTGACAGGTCATTCACATTGGATGGCCTTGACAATATAATCTGACACCACAAAGAAGAGGTCATTGACCCTGGATGACTTGAAAATGTAATTTGATACCCCGAAAATGAAACAGAATTACCAAAACTTTGATGGATTGCAAAGCTCTATATCAATACCCATTTGGCAGTACGCAAACCCAAGTACGATATCTTGAAGGACGAAACGCAACCGAGTGAAGCAACCACACGAATGCGACAAGTAATACCATTATAAATTGGCGAGAAATTCGAGAGTATTTTACTATTGAGGCCAATAGTCTCTCAGCAACGAGAACACATGTCTCTTCACGTCAGGAGAGGGGCCTCTTAAGCGGAGTCGCGCACTAGAGCAATTTACTTTAGTGTGAATGTAACAAATTGCACACAGTGGCGCAATTAAGTAATTTAGCTAGTAACAGCAATGCAATTTTTCATCTTACATTGACACAAATCAGTACGGCGTCAGTCACGTCCATGGAATGTACTTGTTTTGTGTGAAACCTTCGGCCAAAATTGATATTCAAGAACATAATTCAAACAAACCAATTGTGAAATCAGTAAAGCTCGTAGGCTAGCAACATTGGACACCCCAATTAATCCCGATATTTAGTTTTCGTGGGGCATAAATATCATCTAATTTTTTGCACTTGTTCTTCATAAGTTCATATTCCGTATTTGAGGTTAAGTTTTCTCCGCTAAATTATTTTATTCGTACCCGAACATCGCTAATGTGGTGTCCCTCATGGATCCATTGAAGGACAATTATTATTGAAAAAACGGTTATTTTATTAGACTTTCTTTAAATTCCACAACCAGTAAAAATAAAAGACCCCCCAAAGCTTTGGCGGCAGCTGCACGAAACCGCACAATACTTACTTAGTGCCGAGACTGTTGCACTTCCTATGGCCTGGAATGTACTTGCCGCTCGAAGTTATAGCGTGCAGACGTAAAGATCCGCCGGACGCCTTGGCCGGTGACAAATTTAAAGAGGCGATCGTCGCCACGTCCATATTGCTAATCGCCTCTTTCGAATTCGACGCTTGGATGCTGGGCGGCGGTTCCAACTTCAGCGACAACCTAAAGAAGACAATTTAACAGGCGCCATCTTACTGACCCGCCGACGTACTTGTACTGGTCATCCTCGACGAACTTCTGCAACTCTTCAATGTACCTAACCGAGTGCAAATAGTTTTGGATATGAGGCAGCTCGGTTAAGTGCGAATAATCGGATGTCTGATAATTGGAGATGACGCGAAGGATGTTGTTCATTTTCAATGTGCGCTGTTGAGATTCTAAACCTCCGGTGTGCGGATGAGCCATGTCGATGTAAACAAGGTCCGTTAAATACAGTCCGAGATAAGGTATGCACGGTAACTTTAAGCTTTCGATATGTTTTCTAAGATTGGACCAATTGTCGGTGTCGGAAAACACTTCGGCCAACTTATCGAACGATTGCTTTTCCTTTTTTGATATGCCGCCCCATGTTTTGGAAAGCCTAAAATAATATCGGTAAAACGTATAGAAAGCCAATGAACGCTTAAAAAGCACCCTGTGTGAATGTATGTAAAGGTTTTTTTTATTATTACGTATTACATATCCATTGCTTAATTACATAGGGAATAAAGCGCTAACATGAAATGACCAATTTGCAGAAACAGATTCCGGGTGAGCATTACAGGAATAATCATGGAATATTATTTCTAGTGTACAATTGTCTCTCTACTATCTTGGCATACACAATTCTGACAATTAAAATTGTATTAAAAAATCATAAAGTGCTTTAAGTTCTTTTTTATGAAGTACTAGCAGACCCGGCGAACTTCGTACCGCCTATGTATGAATGTACCTCTCCCGGATAGGACATAAGCTCGCCCACGATTACCAAACCAAAAACCTTCACGGGCATACGTCACTAATAGGTTTGACCATCCATTTTTTTCGCCTTTCGGTTGAAGTCGAACGGTCGCCGACTACACTATTTTCCAGAAAAACGTTCAGGGTGGGTATTACATGAATGCATCATCTTCAACGATGGATCACTTGCTTCTAATATCTTGCTATCTTGAGTATTATTTCTACATTTACGAGACATACAAAATGTGTGGGGGGGGGGGTTACTGCGTTTATTCGCTAATTGTAATTCATGGGGGGGGGGTCACATCACTGTGCCATAAATTTCTTAAATGTCTGTAATCGTCCGGAGGGGGGAGGGGGGGGGGTAATTTGAAACCAAATTCATTTAGTGCTTTTTATTTATGTTGTCACTTCGTCATACATTTCTTTTATCGTATGGGGGAGGAGAAGCGCTTAATTTTAAACCGCGTTTATTAGATGCTTTTATAGATTTCACTTTATCACTTCACCGAATTTCTTTCATCGTATGGGCGGGGGCTTAATTTTAAGCAGCGTGTTCAGAGCTGTTCATATATTAACTTTAAAATAAATTTCTATGAGCGTCGGAGGGGGGAGGGGGGGCATAAATTCCTATCAACGTATCAGAGAGGGGAGGCGTGTAATTTTAAACCGCGTTTGTTCGGAGCTTCTTCTTTATTACACTTCGTAATACGTTTCTATAATCGTCCAGCATGAGGGGGGGGGGGGGGGGCCTTAATTTTTAATCGCGTTTGTTTGCGACATTTTATGTATTTCACTTATCAGTTCGCCATAAATTTCTTTCATAGTGGGAGGGAGGGGGGTCCTTAATTTTAAAACGTTTGTTCGGCACTTTATTTATGCCACTTCGTCATAAATTTCATTCATGGTAGGGGGGGGGGGGCGCTTAAAGTTAAACCGTGTTTGTTCGGCGCTATTTATGTCTTAAATTTCTTTCATCGTAATTGGGAGGGAGGGGGCGCTTAATTTTCAACCGTGTTTGTCGCGGATTTTTATTTATTACACTTCAAAATAAATTTCTGTAATCGTCCGGGGGGGGGGGGGTTCACTTATCACTTCGCCATAAATTTCTTGTCTGTAATCGTCCGGAGGGGGGTAATTTGAAACCAAATTCATTTAGTGCTTTTTATTTATGTTGTCACTTCGTCATACATTTCTTTCATCGTATGGGAGAGGGGAAGCGCTTAATTTTAAACCGCGTTTATTAGATGCTTTTATAGATTTCACTTTATCACTTCACAAAATTTCTTTCATCGTATGGGAGGGGGGAGGGCGCTTCATTTGAAACCGTGTTTGTTCGGCACTCTATTTATGTCACTTCGTCTTAAATTTGCCTCGAAATTTGTTTCATAGTAGAGGGGGGGGCGCTTAATTTTCAACCGTGTTTGTCGCGACTTTTTATTTATTACACTTCAAAATAAATTACTGTAATCGTCTAGGGGGGAGGGGGGGGGGGGGTAATTTGAAACCGAATTCGTTTAATGCTTTTTATTTATGTTGTCACTTCAAACCGCATTTATTAGCGGCTTTGTATATATTTCCCCTTATCACTTCACAAAATTTCAAAATTTCTTTCATCATATGAGAGAGGGGTGGAGGGGTTAATTTTTAAACGCGTTTGTTCGGGCTTTTTATGTATCTCACTTCATAGCAAATGTCTATAATCGTGGAAGGTGGGGAGAGGGGCTTAATTTGAAACCGCGTTGTTAACGGCTTTGTATGTATTTCACTTATCACTTTGCAAAATTTCGTTCATCCTATTGGCGGGGGGGCTGAATTTTAAGCAACGTTTGTTCAGAGCTGTTTATATAGTACATTTTAAAATACATTTCGATAATCGTCGGGGGGGGGGGGGGGGGGGCATACATTCCTTCCATCGTATGAGAGAGGGGAGGCGCGTTTGTTCGGAGCTTCTTGATTACGCTTCATAATACGTTTCTATAATCGTCCAGAGTGGGGGGGCCTTAATCTTATATCGCGTTTGTTCTTCGCGTTTTTTTATGAATTTCATTTATAACTACGCAATAAGTGTCTTTCATCGTATGCCAGGGGCTGGGGGTGACGAGTTACTTGATTTTTAAACCGCACTTGAACGTGAATTGTATGTATTGAACTTATCAATTCGCAAAATTTATTTCCTCGTGTGGGGAAGGGGCGCTAAATTTTAAACCACTTTTGATGGCGGCTTTGTATGCATTTCACTTCATCACAAATTAGTTTCACACACGTACAGGGGGGAAGGGGGCTTGATTTTTAACAGCGATTGTTTGCAACATTTTATGTATTTCACTTATCACTTCGCCATAAATTTCTTTCATAGGGGGAGGGAGGGGGGTCCTTGAAGGGGGGTCCTTAATTTTAAAGTGTTTGTTCGGCACTTTATTTATGTCACTTCGTCATACATTTCTTTCATCGTATGAGGAAGGGGGGGGGGCTTATCACTTCACAAAATTTCTTTCATCATATCAGAGAGGGGGGGTTAATTTTTAAACGCGTTTGGGATTTTTATGTATTTCACTTCATAATAAATGTCTATAATGGAGGGAGGGGGGGGGGTCAATTTGAAACGCGTTTGTCCACAGCTTTTTATGTATTTCACTGAGCTGTTTATATGTGTAACGTTCACTAATAACTTTCTATAAGCGTGAGAGGGGGGGGGGAGTCCTTTCATCGTATGAGAGAGGGGAGGCGCGTAATTTTAAACCGGTTTGATCGTGAATTGTATGTATTGAACTTATCACTTCGCAAAATTTATTTCCTCATATGGGGAAAGGGCGCCGCGTTTGTGGGTGGATTTTTATTAATTTCACTTCATCACAAATTAGTTGCTTAATTTTTAACCGCGTTTGTTTGCGACATTTTACGTATTTCACTTATCACTTCGCAATAAATTTCTTTCATCGTATTGGGGAGTGGGGGGTGGGGAGGAGGAGCTTTATCTTAAACCACGTTTGTTTGCGGCTTCTTACGTATTTCACTTGTCAAAAGAATACTTGCAATAATTGTTCTGGATTGTTTTTGTATATGCAAAGTGCCAAAAGAATATTTGGGACCATTTGTTGATAACATTTTTCAGTTGTGATCAGAGTTCTTGATAGCCCTTCACGAGTATTGGATAAAAACAGATTTTTAGTGGGAACCTTCAGATAATGCGCATTGAACTGTCACCGAAGTCAAGTTAACCACCAGTAAATTACCATAGGATGGATTGAAGTGCGTGTAAAAACAAACGCGTACCTCGACGCGTACACTTTTTACCATTACAAGTTTTGTCGACCTTCACTTACAAGAGGTAATTTACGATTCAGAAACTATTACAATAAATACGAACAATAGTGGAAGTTCTTGTTTTATGACTGCAATGCAAATTTTAAGTTTTGGAGGCGTAACTATCCCACACAACGCATTTCGGACCATTGGTTCATATGGGAAAAACGTTTGTTTTGGAATCCTATACACACCCTGTATAAAGCTTTGAAGGGGTGAGCAAAGACAAACTTACATTCCGAAAATAAATGACTCCGGTGGATTGAGAGAAAGAGAAAACCTTGCAAGAATCTTTCTGCTCTCTCCTATCTACTCCGGTTCTGTTTTGATTATAAATACAGGGTGTTTCAAAATAGCTTAGTTTCACCAATTGGATACTTGCAAAAAAAAGCTTACACATAAACACAAGGGGTAAATATCAGACCAAAAATAAACACCTGTACACTGAAGCGCTCTGCAAGGCTGATATAATGGCGAACAAAGAATGCAAATCATTTAGCTCGTACAACTTCTTAGCGATTCGAATGAAGTGGCCCATCATGTCGGCTCGTTGCTTAGGCGTCGGCCTCGACAGTATCTCCTGCACCGTCCAAAAGCTGACCTACAAACCCCGTGTTAGTGCGACATTACGACCAGAAGTCAACTTACATGATTAAATCGCCTCGTAAACGCCACAACATTCGGAGTGACCGTTAACTTATTCTTCTTGTTCCACGCGCAGCTCGTCAACTCGTCCGGTTTAATGGCGAAGAAAACCGGCACGTCGAGCAAGACCAACTGAGTGGCGAAATCTTCGGGCGGAACACGCAGCGGATCGAATATCAAGGTGGCGATATTTCCGCAGGAGGATCGCGAGGAGTTCGGCAAACTTTGAGTCTTAACTTGAGTCGATGCGGGCACGAGTGAGTGTCTGCAATCAAACGTTAATAGATCGTCGAGGAGATCTGCGGTAAAACCTCGCGGCGTTGAGCCGGCTTTCGTCAGCATCGGAGAGTTTCCTCGCGCGTTCCTTTGTTACTGCCGAAGTTGAACCAACTCCGTTGAGTACAGACAGTGACGAGTCTTCATATTTTTGCTACAATTAAAGATATTTTAAAAATCGTAATCGAGATAACTAACGAGCGGTTAATGCAATTACTTTTTTATATTTAAGATTAAGCATGACACACAAATCCACCAGAACATCACAGTTTGCTCCAAATAACGATTAGATCTATAAAACGAAGCGTTTTTTTTAATGTTAATTGCCCAATTAATATTACCATGTCCTAGAAGTTAGGAAAGGTCGAGACACTGCCACGAAATATGGTAGTGCATCGTTAATGCTAGCGTACTGAGTTGATTTGTGCAGAAATTTATCCGAAAAATTCCTGTTAAAAGAACTTATTTAATAATTTTGAAAGCAAAATTACAACACAGCTGATGGCATAAATCAAAGATAAACAAACGTGAAGTTAGCGTCAATTTACAGCTGACAACTGCGCTGCGCATGGGTGCCATGTGTGAAATCAACTTCAGAGGCGGCGTGTATTTTTTTTATGTGCAAGCATAAGATTAGTTTTCAAAGTTCAGTACAAGAATGAAGTATTTTAGGCTTTCAGCTTGAAAGTCATTCTTGCCCTGCGTGTCTTAAGTACCTTCCAAATCTTTGTGTGCAATTTCAGTCGATTTATATTCTAAACACGCTTTCTCACATTTTTAGAACCCCTCATTGCACTGAAGTGAGAGCAAGGCCACAGTGTTATGTCATCGGTCAAATTATGCGTGTAAGTGTAAAGGTTATGTAAGCGTTTTTGTGATGGTTCGTTAGACCAAAATTTTAATTCTGCATAAATGGTATCAAATTTTATTAAAAGTATCATAATAGGTTTACCAATCGGTGTGACGTTTCTCGATCTAATCGGCTATGTAGCTCGCGTCGATGGCATCTCGATGCAACCAGTTTTAAATCCGGACAAGTCGCAGACCGATTATGTGTTTTTAAATCGTTGGGCAGTGCGCTCCTTGGACATCAAGCGTGGAGAAATAATCTCGTTAATCTCACCGAAGGATCCAGATCAAACTATAATCAAACGAGTCGTCGGTATTCCAGGTATCAAACCTTTTTTGTATTAGAAAATGCTGTTCGAGTAGGGTTCTGTATGCAATCGGAGCTTCATGGCCAACTCTGGCAGTTTGTTTTACGTTTGGATCCTACGAGGGATCCTAGATCGAGGATGTCGAGGGTAATGCCAGGCTGGTTTCTTGGGCATTTTGTTTAATGTTATAGGCGTGTATTAGATGTGGTAGGTTTCTTGGTAGACAAATAAATATCTTAGGGCTGTCAAACTGTTTAACTGGCTGTTGTTAAAGAAAATGGAACACTTTATGTTGATATCTCTTGTATCCGTCTTTAAGAAATTAACTTTTTAAAGAGGGTTAGAACAAAATGTGGATCTATTGGGGGCTTAATTTGTCTTCCATTTCTTGAACACTTACCGGGTACTTTCGAGGGAGGCTTCACCTACCTCATGGCTTTATTGCGTCTTGAATGTTTTTGTGTAATCCAAAGCATTACCACAGTACCTACCTATTCAGATTTCGTTTACATACTCCCTCGCATACTCCCAGATATTCTGTGATAAAGAGGGGTAAAAATTCAAGGAAATTCTAAAAAATTTTTAGACAAATTCTGAGAGGTTGTAGACGAGATTGTAGAACATTCTACACAATGCTAGTAGTGTACATCAAAATTCTACCGGGAAACCCATTTGAAATTATATGTGCACTACAATTCTAGAATTGTAAACAATTCTAAAAATTAAAAAAAATTCTGGAGTTTTCAAAAATTCTAAGCAATTCTAGAAAATTCCAAAAACTTCTAAAAAATGTCGAGGAAATTCTACAATTATACCAAAGTTACAGTGATTTTTTTTCTCGGAGTACTCTATTTCAAATTTTGTGTACATTACAGTTCGAGAATGTTAAAGTATTTCAAAATATTCTCAAAATCTCGCCAAAAATTATATAAAATAATAATTGTTCGCGCGTTTGAAAAAAAATTAAAAGTTCTGAAAAATTCTAGAACATTCTAAAATCGTAAAAAATAATAATTGTACGTACTTGTGCGTTCTAAAAATTTTAAAAATTGTATAAAATGATAATTGTCTGTGCGTTTGAAAAAATTTTTAGAAACTTCTAAAAAATTCAAAAATTTAGAAGATTCTAAATAATTCTAGGAAATTTAAAAAAATGGTAGAAAATTTGAAAAATTGTGTAAAATAATAAGTTATTGTGTGTGAATGTCCGTTCGGAAACAAATTCTAAAACATTCTAGATTCTAGAACGTTCTAAAAAATTCTAGAAAGTTCTAAAAAATTCTCGAAATTCCTAGTGATCTTCCTATCGGGGTAACCCATTTCAAATGTTGTCTACGCTACAATACTAGAATTTTAAAAATTCTAAAAAAAAATATTTTTAAATTCTAGAAAATTCTAAGAATTGTATAAAAAATTCTAAAATGTTTAAAAAAATCTACAAAATATACACCACAAAATGTACGCCAAGGTTCTAAAACATCTATAAAATAATAATGCATGTGCCGGCAGAAAAATAATTGTAGAAAAGTTCTAAAGAAATTCTAGAAACTTCTAAAAAATTCAAATATATCTAAAAGATTCTAAACAATTCTGGAAAGTTAAAAAAACTTTTCGAAAATTTCAAGTAGATTCTAAAAATTTTATAAAATAATAATTGTGTGTGTAGTCCGTTCGGAAACTAATTCTAAAAAATGTTTAGAAAGTTCTACAAAAATTCTAAAATATGCTCAAAATTCTACGATGTTCTAAAAAATTTAAAAAAGCTTTAAAATTATATAAAATAATTACGTGTGCATGTGCGTTCGGAAAGAAATTCTAAAAAGTTCTAAAACAAATTCTAAAATATTTAAGATTCTAAACAATTCTACGAAATTATAAAAATTGTATTAAATAATAATTATTGTGTGCATGTGCGTAAAAATCTAGAAAATTAAAAAAAATTCAAAAATCGCTGAAAGAATCAAAACTATTCTAGAAAATTATACAAAATGGTAGTCATGTACACCAAACTTTTCACAGTGATTTTCCCCTCGGGGCCAACGATTTCAAATTTTGTGCACACCAATTCTACTACTCAAACAATTAAAAAAAGTTAAAAATCTCTAGAAGTATCTAAAAATTCTATAAAATGTTCATGTGCGCTCGGAAAAAGTTCTAAAGAAATTCTAAAATATCTAAAAGATTTTAAAAAATTCTAGGATATTCTAAAAAAACGTCTCGGAGAATGTTAAAAAGTTCGTGAAAATTCTAAAAATTGTATAAAATAATAATTGTGTGCATGTACATTCGGAAAAAAATAAAAAAAATAAAGAAAAGTTCAAAAAAATTCTAAAAAATTGATTAAAATAATTGTGTGCTTGTGCGTTCGGAAACAAATTCTACAAAAGTTCTAAGAAATTCTAGACAATTCAAAAAAATTTTAGAAAGATCTAAAAACGAGTCTAAAAAATTCTATATTTAAAAGATTCTAAACAATTCTAGAAAGTTCTACAAGATGCTAATTCTAAAAATTTTAAAAAAGGTTTAGAAAATTCTAAAAAAAACCCAGAAAGTTCTAAAAAATTTAAAAATATGTAAAAGATTTTAAACAATTTTAGGAAATTCTAAAAAATTCTAGATACATTTTAAAAAATTTAAATAATTGTTTGCTTGTGCGTTCGGAAAAAATTCTACAAAAGTTCTAAGAAATTCTAGAAAATTCTAGACAGATCTAAAAAAATTCTATATCCAAAAGATTCTAAACAATTCTAGAGAATTCTACAAGATGCTAATACTTGGTGTACACCAAAATTCTAGTGATTTTCCCCTCGGTGTAAACCATTTCAAATGTTGTGTACATTACAATTCTATAATTCGCACAAATTCTAAAATTTTTTTTAAAATTTTAGAAAATTCTAAAAAAAACCCAGAAAGTTCTAAAAAATTTAAAAATATGTAAAGGATTTTAAACAATTTTAGGAGATTCTAAAAAATTCTAGAGAAATTCTAAAAAATGGAATAAAATAATATTGTTTGCTTGTGCGTTCGGAAAAAAATTCTACAAAAGTTCTAAGAAATTCTAAAAAATTCTAGAAAGATCTAAAAAATTCTATATCCAAAAGATTCTAAACAATTCTAGAAAATTCTACAAGATGCTAGTACTTAGTGTACACCAAAATTCTAGTGATTTTCTCCTCGGTGTAAACCATTTCAAAGTTTGTGTACCCCAAAAATTCTACAGTGATGTTTCCCTCGGGGTAAACCATTTCAAATTTTGTGTGCATTACAATTCTATAATTGGCACAAATTTTAAAAATTTTAGAACATTCTAAAAAAACCCAGAAAGTTCTAAAAAATTTAAAAATATGTAAAAGATTTTAAACAATTTTAGGGAAAGAAAAATTCTAAAAATGATATAAAATAATAATTGTGTGGATGTGTGTTCGGAAGAAAAATTCTACCAAGTTCTAAAAAAAATTTTTGAAAGTTCTAAAAAGAATGTTAAAATATCTAAAAGATTAAACAATTCGAAAATTCTAAAAATTTAAGGATTGTAAACAATTTTAGAAAATTCTACAAAATCCTAGTAGCGTACACCAAAATTCTATATTGATTTTCCCCTCAGGGTGCATGTGCCGTAGGAAAAATTCTTGAAATGTTCTAAAAACTAGAAAATTAAAAAACTTTAGAAAGTTCTAAAAAATTCTAAAATATCTAAGTAAAAGATTGTGAACAATTTTAGAAAATTCTACCAAATGGTAGTAGTGTACATCAAAGTTCTACAGTGATTTTCCCCTCTCGGCAAACCATTTTAAATTGTGTGTACATAATTCTAGCATTCAAAAAATGTGTAAAAAATTCTAGGAGATTCTAAATGTGCGCTCGGAAAAAATCAAGGAAATTTTAGTCAAATTCTAAGAGGTTCTAAAAATTCCACAAAATGGTATTAGTAGTATTTTGCCACATGTGCGTTCGGTAGAAAATTCAAGAAAGGTGCTAGGAAGATTCTAAAAAATTTAAAAAATATTCTAGAAAATTCTAAACATTTTAGGTAATTGTACAAAATACACTAAAGTTCTACAGGGATTTTCTTCTCCTCGTAAACCACTTCCTATTTTATCTACAGTACTATTCTAGAATTTTACAAATTCTAAAAAAGATTCTGAAAATTCTAGAAACATTCTAAAAAAAAACTCGAAAAAAACCTAGAAAATTCAACAAAATAAAATAAAATTCTACAGTGATCTTTTCTTCGCATGATAATTCAACATACTTCACTGAAACTGTTTTATGTGTGCTGAATTGCTTAAAGCTGGTACGATATTACTAATAGTTGATGAAAGTTTTACTCGCAAAAAAACAAAAAAAAACTTCAACTTCATATACAACTTTCTTTTCGGTTTTGTTATGAAGTCTTTCCTGAGAGATTCTAGAAAATTCTCAAAATTCTATGTGTGTGCATGTGCGTTTGGAATAAATTCTAAAAAATTCTTCCGGGAAAGTATTGTTTATTTCCCAACACTTATCGACCTTTATTAAAGTGCGCACCCTGATCTTAACTCGAAATATTCACCCGGCTATTATTTTTCGTCTGCACGATTTCATTGTATTGCCATTTTCTACACACTAATCTCGCACTATTGAATGCGATTTCGTTTTTCCTGATTATATACGGGACACCCTAATAATTCTGTGGTCGCGCTTACGAACTCTATTGCCTCGTAGCTATCCGCGTAACGCCACCAAAAAATCTCATTACTTTCTCAATTTTTACAAAACACGCCTACAAAATGGCGCCAATTGCTTTCTGAGGCCATCTTTACTCGTTCAGCACATAAACTTCAGTATTCCCCACTCACCAATCCCTTTTTTTTATACAATTAGGGGTTCAAAATTTCGAACGTAGCGGTTCTCACGTACCTGATTGCGAGCGGATCGAAATCATCATAAAATGACACGTATTAACTCTGCATAATCTTCCGTCAGACGGCCGCCAAGTACCTTCCCATGCAATGAATCGACCAATAACTCGCTACATTACATTTTTTATTTTTTTTTAAGTTCAATATTACATAACGGAATTCTTCTAACTGAGTCACGTAGGTATGTTACAAATTTTCAATGTTCAATGTCACAGCCATGTGCTCGGATTGCATATATAACTATGTCCAGACAATTTATTAATAATCTAAGATGCTTTTTTTCAATTTTTAGGAGACATAATTTCCACCATTGGCTATAAAAGGGAGGTGGTGAGGATACCGGAGGGACACTGCTGGGTGGAGGGCGATCACACCGGTCATTCCGTCGACTCGAACCACTTCGGCCCGGTTTCCCTCGGTCTGATAACTGCGAAGGCCTCGTGCATCGTCTGGCCCCCTTCGCGTTGGCAGTACATCCGATCGTTTCTACCCGAATCGCGCGTCCCTCTCAACGTAATTTCGCAAGTGATGGCGTCCGTATAACGACCGCTTTCCGCTTAGTCTCAATTAGGAAATGCGCGCGATATCTTTAGTCGATCGTTTAGAGTTCGATTTTAGCGGAAATATTCTTAGGAAGGGCCTAACTTTGGGCGACGTCGATAATGACGGCGTGTCCGAGCTCGTTGTGGGCGGCGAGACCGGAAACGTCTCGGTTTTCAAGGGGGCGAAAAAGTACGCGATGCTAACCGGACTGAGTTTCGTCAGTTGCGTGTGCGTCGGTGACATTTTTAACGTTGGCAAGAACTGTCTTGTGGTTATAACGGCCGACGGTTGGTGCTACGTTTATTGCGTGTTGGTCACGTATGTGTCGGTAGAGTGCGAGGCGGATGACGAGGGGAGCGACCAAGTCGACGGGCAGATCTTTTCTAGCGAGAGTGTCGAAAGTGAGAGGAGCAATGATTCGGCCGTTCATAGTGCGCAAGAGAAGGAGAGGGTCGAGCTTAAGCGGTTGCACTCGCAACGTATTCCTGCCAATACCAAGGTTTTACTATTCCAGATGAGGGGTAAACCGCTGACAGAATTCCACTTTTCGGAAATGCCCCAAATTTTTGAATTAAAAAAAAATCTGAATTTTAATAACTACTTTTTTGTCGAAATTTCAAAAGCAAAGATTTTGGGACGTTGGGAACCTCCCAGATACAAAATTTCGACATCTTCGGAATGTTGGTATCCTGGTTAGGGAGCGCGTAAGTAACTTGTATAACACAGGGTATAAGAAACGTTTGTATTGTTGCTACTTCTGTCCTATCTGGTATGGTTGCTCAGAAAATAATTAAAGAAAAATTAAAATTTTGGTATTTTGGCTCAAGAAACATTAGTACCAATTTGAAAGAAATGTTTGCTTTGGTTCCTAAAAAAATCAATACTGGGTCAAAAAAGGTTTTTTAAAAATTTCAAAATTCAAAAATCTTGAAATTTTTTTTAATCACTTGAATGTTTTTTGTATAGGTACTATCCTTAGCGTGTAATACTTTCGAAAGTAGACTATAAGTAATACGCTACCTTTTTTAGATTAAAATATACAGGGTGTTGAAAAAAGAGGTTAGGTTCGACAACTTTTTTAGTTAACTCCGTATAAGTACCTATTTTGAAAACGGCAGACTATTCAACAGTAAATAAACTTTCAGGTGTTTTCTTGTAAGCGAATTTTCCGCTCTGATTCGTCTCGAATTTTCCTTGATAGAATTTTCTCAAGGTACAAATGCACCTGAAGAAAGTTTTCTTATAAGCGTCATTTGATTTTTGTAAGCAAAATTTTCACTCTGATTTTTCTTGGGGGGGGGGGGGCATTTGTCTGATTTCAATTTCTTCGGGGTCGGATTTTCCTTAACAGAACTTTCTTTCTAAATTTATCTCGAGCACGGTATAAGATCACCGTGATCTCGAGCAAGTTTCGTTTTGAGCACATCTTTTCCAGACGTTTCCTTGTAAAGGAATTTTCCACTCGGATTTTTCTTGGGTGCCATTTTTCTGATTTTAACCTCTTTGGGGACGAATTTTCCTTGAGAGAGAATCTACTGAAGGTACAAATTCATCTGGAGCAAGTTTTGTTATGAGCACATCCGATTTAGGCGTTTTCTTGTTAGCGAATTTTCCGCTGGGATTCTTTTTAGGGGCCTTTTTTTTTATTTCGTCTTCTTCGGGGTCGAATTTGCTTTAAGAAAATTTTCTCACGGTATAAATTCATCTGGAGCAATTTTTCTTTTGAGGCGTTTTCTTATAGGTAAGTGAATTTTCCGGTCTGATTCTTCTTAGGGGCAATTTTTCTGATTTCGATTTCCTCGTTGAGAGAATTTTCCAATGGTACAAATACATCTGGACCAAGTTTCCTTATGAGCACCTCCTTGAGAGGATTTTCCCAAGGTACGAATTCATCTGGCGCAAGTTTTTCATGAGCACGTTCTTCCTCGGGCTTTTTCTTGTATGCTTATTTGGGGGGCGGGGAGAATTTTTCGGATTTCGAGTTCTTTGGGGGTCAAATTTTCCTTGAGAGAATTTTCCCAAGGTACAAATTCATATGGCGCAAGTTTTTTATGAGCACGTTCTTTCTGGGGTATTTTCTTGTATGCAAATTTTCCGCTGTAATTTTTCGGTGTGAATTTTTCTGATTTCTAGTTCTTCAGTGTTGAATTTTCCATGAGAGAATTTTTCCAAATTCATTTGGCGCGAGTTTTTTATGAGCACGTTCTTCCTCGGGTTTTTTCTTGTATGCAAATTTTCCGCTCCAATTTTTCTGAGGGAATTTTTCTGATTTCGAGTTCTTCGGGGTTGAATTTTTCTTGAGAGGATTTTTCCAAGTTCATTTGGCGCAAGTTTTTTATGAGCACGTTCTTTCTCGGGTATTTTCTTGTATGCAAATTTTCCGGGGGGAATTTTTCTAATTTCTAATTCTTCAGGGTTGAATTTTCCTTGAGAGAATTTTTCCAAATTCATTTGGCGCAAGTTTTTTATGAGCACGTTCTTTCTCGGGTATTTTCTTGTATGCAAATTTTCCGCTGTAATTTTTCGGGGTGAATTTTTCTGATTTCTAGTTCTTCAGTGTTGAATTTTCCATGAGAGAATTTTTCCAAATTCATTTGGCGCGAGTTTTTTATGAGCACGTTCTTCCTCGGGTTTTTTCTTGTATGCAAATTTTCCGCTCCAATTTTTCGGGGGGAATTTTTCTGATTTCGAGTTCTTCAGGGTTGAATTTTCCTTGAGAGAATTTTTCCAAATTCATTTGGCGCAAGTTTTTTATGAGCACGTTCTTTCTCGGGTATTTTCTTGTATGCAAATTTTCCGCTGTAATTTTTCGGGGTGAATTTTTCTGATTTCTAGTTCTTCAGTGTTGAATTTTCCATGAGAGAATTTTTCCAAATTCATTTGGCGCGAGTTTTTTATGAGCACGTTCTTCCTCGGGTTTTTTCTTGTATGCAAATTTTCCGCTCCAATTTTTCGGGGGGAATTTTTCTGATTTCGAGTTCTTCAGGGTTGAATTTTCCTTGAGAGAATTTTTCCAAATTCATTTGGCGCAAGTTTTTTATGAGTACGTTCTTCCTCGGGCATTTTCTGGTATGCAAATTTTTCGTTCTAATTTTTCTGGGGGAATTTTTCTGATTTCGAGTTCTTCGGGGTTGAATTTTCCTTGAGAGAATTTCCATCAAAGCATAGATGGGGGACACAAGGGGAAACTTCTCACACTTGAGATCTTAAGTACTAACGAATAAACTATGAAACAAAAACAAACTGCACCCACATTTTACTGTCACGGTTTACCTCCTCGATTTATGGTTGTTTGGCGAACTAACCATTTTCCACTTAGGACGTTCTCTTAGCCGATATTAACGGGGACGGGTTACTGGAGTTGGTCGTCGGATTAACGGATAGAGTGGTCAGATCCTACCGCTGGGTTGCGGACGAGAATAGCGCGGCGGACGGATTTGACAATGTTTCCGGTTGGTGACGTCTGTTCCTTAAGTACCTCATGCTTATGTTTGCAAATTTAGGTAAATTGGTCTGTTTAAATAAATGGGAATGTGCCAAACAGATCGGATCTATCACTTTGCATCATTCGCCAGAGGGCGTTCCTTCTCTCCTAGTGGCTCAGCCGGGTGGTACGTTTATGAGGATTGTCTGTCATTTGGAGGACAGTTCTCAATCCTTGGAAAACACGGGCGAACACTCGGATTCTGGCAGGCAAGTATAATTTATTTTTAGTTTATTGGTTTTACGTTTCCCCCTCGCTTTCCCCTCCATTGAATTTTGCCTATTTTATTTGGGCGTCACGTACACGAGAGATGGAAATTTCCGAAGTAAATAATCAGATTCGGTCCCGGTATCTACGGGAAATCAAATGCAGGAAAGCGACACAATATCCCTCTTCCCCTTATAATAATTAATTTAACAGAGTGTAGCAAAAAAAATCTTCATCTAGTAATTAAACCGGAGCGGTACAAAAGAGCAAAAGTGCGTTATATGAAAGATGATACGTTCCACACGTGCCACTATCAAAAATTTACTTTGAAATCTATCACGTTGCCCAAAATTGATATTTATGCACCAATTTTGTTGGAAAAGACCGAGGAAAAGACTAAACTCTATTGCATGATGCCCATGCGTAATTTATTTCCAGCAAAATGTTTATACCAAAAAGGTTTCGACATCGCTATTTATGCGCAGATTCTCTTGGGAAAACGACTAAACTCGATTTCTGGATGCCCAAGAAGTAACCCATGCGTATTTTTAGTCACCAACATATTTTTGGCTAAACAATTTCTAAATCCCCGTATCAACTTCAAAGATAGTCTTTCCGTCTGCCAATCCGACTCTTTCTTTAACTTTATTCGTCCCTTAAAATTTCTCACCTCTTCTGCGCTTCATGCGTTCTCGCACCCTCCCTTCACTTTCTTTGACACTTCATTCGAACTCCCCTTCACGTCCACTTCTTTTACTCCTCGTCTCTACATCTTCCAATACCTCCCGCCCCTTTTAAGACTTCTTCAAGCCTGTGACGCATTTTTCACAAATTTTCGACGCGCCTATTCTTTACGACTTCCATTACGTCCTTACACGACTCCGTCACGGCTTCCCGTCGCCTTGCTTCAAGCCATGCCACGAGGTGTTTTTCCATCACTAGGAGATATATTTCCACGCTTTAATTTAGTTTAAATTACCAATTCTTATCAGGAGAATATAATGGACAAGGAGGTGATCCTGCTTCTAATACACGGAACATTAAATGGCCAACCCTTGTAAAAGTTTTCTGGCCACCAGGAGAACATGATGGGAGAGGTCTTTTTCGATCACGTTTTAATTTAGTTTAAATGTACCAATTCCATATCAGGAGAATATAATGGACGAGGAGGTGATCCTGCTGCAATAGACGGAGCATAAAATGGCAAACCCTTGTAAAAGTTTTCTGGCCACCAGGAGAGCATAATGGGAGAGGTCGTTTTCCATCACTAGGAGATATATTTCAACGTTTTAATTTAGCTTAAATGTACCAATTCTATTAGGAGAATATAATGGACGAGGAGGTGAGCCTCCTCCTAATACAAGGAGTATGAAATGGCGAACCCTTGTAAAAGTTTCCTGGCTACAAGGAGAACATGAGGGAAGAGATCATTTTCCATCACTAGGAGATATATTTCAACACTTTAATTTAGTTTAAATGTATCAATTCTATATCAGGAGAACATAATGGGCGAGAGGGTGATCCTGCTCCAATAGATGGAGCATAAAATGGCAAACCCTTGTCAAATGTTTCTGGCCACCAGGAGAACATGATGAGAGAGGTCTTTTTCCATCACTAGAAGATATATTTCAACGCTTTAATTTAGTTTAAATGTCTCAATTCCATATCAGGAGAATATAATGGACGAGGGGGTGATCCTGCTACTAATACACGGAGCATTAAATGGCAAACCCTTGTAAAAGTTTTCTGCCCACCCGGAGAACATAATGGGAGAGGTCTTTTCCATCACTAGGAGATATGTTTCAACGTCTTAATTTATTTTAAATGTATCAATTCCATATCAGAAGAATATAATGGACGAGGAGGTGATCCTGCTCCTAATACACGGAGCATTAAATGGCAAACCCTTGTCAAATTTTTCTGGCCACCAGGAGAACATGATAGACGAGGTCTTTTTCCATTACTAAGATCTATTCCAACGCACTTTAAATGTTTACCCATCCTGTACTTACCAGGAGACTATACGTACGAGGAAGTGTGCTTGCTCCTAATACGCGGAATATCAAATGATATATTTTAACATTTTCTTTCAGGCGCTTTTTACCCTTTCTTCCTCCACATCTATCTATTGCATGTTCTTCATACTTTTTTTCATGCCTGGTTCGCGCTTTCTGTGTACCTACTTTTTTCATTTGTTTTTCAGGCCTTCAGGACATTTTCATACCCCCTTTTTCACGCATCGTCCTTTGACACCTGATTTACACCTTCATTCTTTTCCGCGCATCTCAGTAGAACCACAAGGGCGAACATGGCTCCGTTCAAAGGTTGCGTGGTGCCTTTGGGTCAAGGTGATGCTCGGGGCATTAGCTTTCAAGGTCATCGGAGATCAATGACCCTTTCTTTATGTTGCTAATTAAATTAAATTTTAGTTTCAAGGTTACCAAAAGTCAACGACCCAATTTTTACGGTGTCACATTTTACTCCTTTACTCATTTTATTTTCAAGGTTAGCGAAGATCAATGACCTGCGATGTAATATTCCATTTTCAAGGTCAGAGGACAATGACCTTGCCTTTGTGGTGTCATATTTCATTGTCAAGATCGCCACATTTCATTTTCAAGGTTACTAAAGGTCAATGACTCCATTTTGTCTTGTCATATTTTATTTTCAAGATCAATGGCCCCATTTTTTGTGGTGTTATCCAGTTTAATGCCCTTTTAAGGTCATCAGAGGTCAATGTCAGATCATGCGACTCTCATGACTTACTTAGGGCTCTTCAACGCTTTCTTTGTCTTTCCTACACTCTTTCTATCTTTCCTTTCTTTCGTCGAGTCCACATTTCTCCACCATCATACTTCACTACTTTTTTCACACCGTGCTCATCTCCGTTTTCGTCGCGTCTTCTTAGTCGCACCTCTTTCATATGACCTTGAAAATATCTTGCCTCATTTCTTTACGCATCTTGAAAACGAAAGTGGCGCAAGAGGGTCCTCATCAAGTCATGAAGGACCTTTACGCTCCTCTCATAATTTCTTCTTGCCACTCCTTTCTTTACGCATCCTCCTTTCACCTTCTTCCTCTACGTCTCTTATCTTTATCCTTTTTCAGATCTTATTTTTTTGTTTAATGATTTCTTTACCATCTCATGTCCCCTTTTACCCCCCTTCGTCTTCACGTCTCTCTTTCGGTTTCGTCGCGTATCTTTCGTATCCTACACACTTCCATCTTCACGCCTCATTCAAATTCCCTTCACGCCTTCTGCACCATCTTCTTACAGCTTCTGTACGCGCCATCTTCATTCATCTTTCCTTCACACTTTCTTTTGACTCCATTCGCGGTTTATTTATACTTTCATCATGACTTCCTTTCGCCGTCATACGACGTCTCCTCTTCACCTTGCCTCTTACGTGTTTCTTCACGTTCACTTTTTCTTCTAGCCTCTCTGTCATGAACTCCCTTCATGCCTTTAACATGTCTTTCACTTACGCCTCAGTTGAAATTTCTACACGCCTTCTTAGTCTACTTGTCTTCTTCGCCCTTTAGTCTTTTTACAGCTGTCCTATCTTTACTCCTGCTTCTTTCACGCACATTTTTGATACGTCTTCCACAAATTCATCAAAAACTGGACATTTTTAGCTCACGCACGGAAAGTCTCGTGGGATCGAGGATCGATTATCAATTTTTGGGCATCTCGAGAGCCCGCAACCAGAATATCTCCACGGAGATCGTGGGCGATCTAATCCAAAGAAGATCGCCGGAAAGCACGAAGAAAGGACGGCCGTATTCCGTTGCTACTCTTGACGGCACCATAATGCTGGTACACGACGATATTATTACATGGTAAGTCACCGGTCTACACCTGCGCACTAAGATATAAGTCGCTTTCAGGTCAATCGCAGTCGATCACCAAATCTTTTCCTTACACAAAATGGACGTAACCGGAGACGGATGCGACAACATCATCGCCTGCTCCTGGGACGGACAGACTTACATACTGGATCAGGATAAAAACGTTGTCAAATTTCAGTTGGAAGAGTCCGTGCAGTCGTTCGACTGTGGCTACTACAATTTGCACGGCGGCGTTAATTCGACGTGTTTCGTGTATGCCACATTTCATAACAAAGTGAGTGCACTGCGAGCCGAACCGATTGTAATTGTCTGCCGTAGATTTACCTCTACTACGATATACCTTTAACGAAAATGACCTGTAAGCGATTCGAACCTGATTTGTCGATATTAAAGGACTTAGTTAATGCGGAGGATCTCGACCAAAAATCTAAGAACGAATTAGTTGAATATTTACTTTATGGCGTTAAGAATGTGTAGATAATTTTTATACAATAAATTTTTATAGCGGCGTTTCGGATTAACCTGTCATTTACAAATGGCGTGTATAGGTGGTAACGGTTTTTAGTTTGAGTGAATTGAGTTTATCCTGCCGTTTTTGAGACTTGAAAATATAACCCCTTAATCCTATCCTGCCTGAAAAGCGTTTTTCTTAAGATCTCAAGACTTTGGAACACGCAATTAACTTAATTTTCTAGGTCACAATTTATCACTCATTTCTAGCGCACTCTTACAACTCGCCGAAATTCCCTTGCGTCGATTATGCTTTAAAACAGCTTTACTATTCGTGGGATAATTACACTGACCACAAAATACGTAATATGTGACGATTTAAATTTTTCTTACTATTTATGGCATACCTAATCGCACAGACTGCACGTAACAACCTTGAATGTGGATAAGTAGCGAAATTAAATTTTAGAGAAGGTTGTGTGTTAAAAGGTGACGCGTTAAGCGTAATTACACTGATAGAAAGTTATTGAAAGCGGACTGTGCCAAAGAATGACGTATATGTCTCCTATTCTTTGTTGTGTAATTGCACTGTTCACATTTAAACACCTTGGAAATGTTACGCGTTAAGACGATGATTCTTTAACTTATCCTTATTGTTGGTTGCTTAATTGCTCGGATCACATTTAAAATTCTTGAAAGTACAGTGATAAAATGTGACGTTTAAACCATCCTTGATCTTTATGATGTAATTAGATTGATTGCAAATGTATTATTGACTACTTTTGCCCATTGTAGATAAACAAAATGGCGGTCGTATCCCACCACTAGTAATTACAATGTGCTGCCACCAGAGGTCACGCTGTTTTCCGGAATCGCGAATAGGGAGAAGACAATGCAGTGACTAGTGTTTTGAAAAGAAAAGGTAAGTCATGAGTTAGCAGTTAGTAAGAGAACAATTTTTGCGTTTTTTTTTCTAAAAATGAACGGCAATCCGTTCATTTAAACAGTTGAAGGGAGCATTCCGGTTTAACTTCAAAGCTTTTTTAATCTCCGCCCTACTCGACACGAAAAAAAATGTGTCTGTAGAGGATGTGGTGATGAATGGAAATGAAGAAAGGAGGTCATTAACCACAATTCATGGAGGATATGTGACCTATAGAAGTCATAAGTTGTGGTGACATACCCCTACCGTTAGACAACACACCTCACACCTGACAGAAAACCATTATCGGAAAACAAATACGAAACGCTCTAAATCCAGCAATCGTGAAAAGCCTTCCATTTTTTGGTATGAAGCTTGGTAGGAAGAAATGGTTACTAGATTCCGCCGCCTTCGAGTAGCGTGCCTTATTTCTTAATGCCTATGTCTTGAAAGATGTAATTACAAATAAATGTTTAAATTTAAAGTCATTTGTTATTATTTACATTTTTGCATGGATAAATTCTCATATTTGTCTATTAAAGTATGGTGTGCTCCAAGCTTTTTGTTATAATATGTACGGCAGTGGCGTATTTACGGGGGGGATGAAGGGGATATATCCCCCCCCCCCCCAGAAGAATTGAGTTATCATCATAGCTATTAGGTATTTAGGTAATACGTATTAATACGGAGTACTCCGCTATCCGCTCCGCCCACTTTAAAATAAAGGCAATAACAAATAGGTATCAGGTACTTAGTACTGCTACTGAGGTGAGGTACCTGCGTCCTGCCTTTCACGAAATGACGAAAATAAGAATTTTAAATTTTAAAAACAGGAATTTTTTTGCCTATAACTTTTGATGGAGACGTCTAATCGAAAAAGTACGAATTGTTTTGGATTCTACGCACCCAAATTAATAAGAAAAAGTGTTTTCCCGAGAAATTTTGGTGCAGTCGATTTTTGCTAAATAAGGAAGCCTTTTTTTGAGCCCCGAAAAAAATTGTCTCAGATCGACCGAAAAAAAATATTTTCTTACAGAATGTGGCCTGTAGAATCCATAATTTCGAACGGTTCCAAGATCGGACTACTAGATCAAAAGTTACAGCCCTTTGAATTTTTTGTCGAAATTGGTTTTTTGCCCATAAATATACCTATTATTCAAAGTTTTCGTTGACTAATTAAAGCAAAAGCAATAAAGGGGCCTGTCAGCAGTAAGAAATAAATTACCGTTCTAATCTATTCGCCTGTACAATAATACATAGATAAATGACTACCAGCATCAGCAACCTGCAACCCAATTTCTATTTCTTACCCCCCCCCCCCTTCTAGTACGCACTGGGTGACTGTATGTGCCACGAACTTGTTTAATCCCCCCCCCCCTCCCCAGAATACATTTCTACGTACGCCACTGATGTACGGTTATCTGAATCTTTGTTATACTGTACGGGTGATGATGTCTTTATATTGTATGTATATATGTATGTATTCAGGTGGAAGTATATTAGTGTGATGTTTTATATTTTTTGTGTGTTTCAATATTTCTTTTTGAAATTTACTTGGTTTAACCGCAATGCATAATCACATATATGATACCGTTATGCTATTGTTTGTAATTGTTTACGTTTTTGGTATAATGCTTGCTTAATTTATGTTTATTGATGTTGATTACTTGGTCTTGTCCCTTAAGCAACATTCATATAGGTACGTTTTGATCATTTTATTTTTATATGTGGAAATTACCGATTCGTTTGATGCATGTTCTGACTTGTTTGTCACTAACAATTTTCCTCTGTGAATGAAACAGTCACGGGGGTGGTAAAAACTGTAGTCAAAATTGAGCTACGACACCTAACTCCGTGATTGTCTTCGACATTCAACTGTAGGCTCGAAACCAGGGGCGAGTTACCTTTCTTGCAGGAGCGGGATTACGCTAATCAAAGCTCTTCAGTTTAGAATCTATGTGCGATAAATGAGTGGCGATTTAATAATTTCCACATATCTTGAGTTAAATTTGCCTATAAAGCCATGTAATTTTCCATCTTGCTTTTAACAAAAGGACTTTATTGCACCAAAGATGAGTCACATCCTGTGTATTTCGCCCTTTCTTAGAATCTTGGTACCTAATTACCTCACCCATAATTCCCAAAACTTGTTTTTGACCTATATGTTACCTCTTGAAGTTTACCTGCTACTTTCTGTGATATAATTTTATGTTACGCATTCACATCATTACAAACAATTAATTTTACAACCCAATTTGATATTAATTTGACGGATGGTTTTTTTATCGGTAAGTACTTTTTTTTCCAGCCTATTTCTATTTTTATTCGATGAACTACCATTTTCAAAGTTTATTTTTGCAATGTAATTTATTTCGACTTAAATTTCCGAGCTTTTACAATCTTAATAATTGCGATCAATATTAAACAAACTTTTCACAATTTGAGTGTTCTATTTTACGTTCCTTCCCTACTGTGCTTCAGGTTAAAGCGTTGTTTACAAATAACGTGGAGGGAATAGTCATTCGGGTGGCCATTTTTAAACGTTGCCGGGTTGACTTTATTTCCGTGTTCTTGTAGTGTGAAATTAGCGTTGAACCTGAGGGTTAAGTACACTACAGCGGGAAGAAAATTCAACTACCGCATGAAAACTCAAAGGAATAACATGAGAAAACATAGTGGACAAAGAGAGAAAGCAATGATGTAAAAAAAAGAAGAATGACCTCCGACAGTAAATGTCATAAAATTTTTCCTTGCATTTACGAATTTGCAACGTTGCCAGAGAAGAATTTATGTAAAATGTTGTACAATAAACTTCTTATTACATTTCTTTTTCATATACAAACTGTACAGTCTCTTACATACGGAAATAATAACAACGTTAGGCCTTAGACTAAACGAAAATACATTTATTCTAACAATCACTTCGGGCGCGTTACACCGCGAGCAGCGGTCGCCGCACCCTGTATATAACATCTCCAGTAGATAAGTAAAACTAATCTTAAGATATGTACAATATCCGAACGTGTGTAATAAAATAAATAAAATAAAATTAAATGTCTCGATGATAATAAAAGTGTTACCATTTTAGAGCCGTTGGCACTCGTCTTGACTAGCACTATTCTCTCTTAATATTGCAGGTTCTTAGGAATATGGAATTTCTTAATTTGGTCTGCTGTAATACTGTTGGATTATTTTCATTTGCGTTCCCATCCCGTGTTGTAAAACCAGGACTCGTCCCTCGACTTGCTCCAGTTCGCCTCCAAGCTGTTCTCCTGGAACGGAACTTAGTAGGGCGCCAAGGTTCATGGTTAATGGTACTTACGCCGAATTGCCCGTGACCCATGGTGCTTGTACTTAGGTAGTCCATGTTGCTGTAGTAGGGGTAGTTGTTGTAGCAGCTCGTACTGGACGTGCTGGTACTTAAAGCGACGGATTGCGAAGGACACCACGAACGATGCTGGTCTAACGATAGGCTGTCTATGGACGCGGGGGACCAAATACTGGAATTGGTGGTGTTTGTGTAATGGGATGAGGCTATCTGCATTTTAAAAAAATCTCGTCACCGTTTAAACTCATCTTCTGTCTCAGAGACAATGAGTGTAGGAATTAGCTTACTAACCGTTGGTGATGCTGTACTGCCACTAGGTGTTAGTATTGCGGGTTTTACGTAATTTGGACTGTCACGAAGATGGGAAGTTGTTAGTACGCTGGGTGAACTGGATGAGCTAGAAATAAAGTGATAATGTCAAAGATACTTGGCGTAAGCAATACGAGAAGAGGTGGTCCTGTAACTAACATTTCTTCTGTTTAGCATGTGGTTTTGTGTGCTGGAGTAGAGCCACTCCATTTTGATGTTTTTTATGTACATGCAATTTATCATTTTATCAGTTGTTTTGTAGATGTGTTAATACCACCCCAAGATATATGAGATACAAAGGAGGCGAGAAAATAGATACATGTTTCTAAAGGCTTATGAATCCTTGAATGTCTTCGTAAGCCCTTAGAAAAAGTTCGTCAAAAGTTTTTAAAATCCCTTAAGTACACCCCAAAACCTTCAAGAAGTGCAAAAAATCTTAAAGGCTTTTCAAGATATTAAATTTTAAGATTTATGAGGACTCCAGAACTCTTTTAAAGTCTCTTTTGGAAGCTCTAAATCCTGGGAAACCTTTAGTGGCTCCTATATGATACTTCGAAAGGTGCCAGAAGACGTTCTTACACTCCGTTAAATGCTTTCATACGTTTTTAGAATTTTTTAAGGGACCTAAAGTCAAAAGGATTTTACGACATTTAGTCAAGATTAAGAGCGCTTAAAGGCACTAAAGGCCGCTCGTAGACTTTTAAAAAGTTTAAAAGGCTTTCAAAAGCTTGACAATTACAATTTTTTAAGGCTTTTGAGGCTCAAAGACTATTAACTACCCTTTAAGCTCTTTGAAAATATTAAGGACTCGGAGAAACACCTAAAAACCTGTGCCTCTCAAGAGTTTTTAAAAACCGTTTATACGATTCTTAGGTTTTTTGAATACTCCTAAGACCCTTTGAGGTTTTTAAGGACTAAAGGCCCACCAAAGGCTCTTTAGACATTTAGACGTATTTGAAAACTGTTGAAGGCCCTTGAACGCACTTAATGATTTGAAAGTGCCATTAAATTATCGATCCTTTAAAACTAATAAAAGGCTCGGCTCTCGATAAAAGAAATTTGTCGTAAAAAAAAATTGGCCCCCAACACCTCGATCCGAAAAACGAGCTAGTAAATTCTCAAAAAAATTTTCTTATGGACAACTCTCTTTTGAAGCGGTTGTAACCAATAAATGTCTTCACAGCACCCCTTTAAAAACAGTCTTAAGTAAAATTGAATGCGCCCCCTCCCCCAAGTAGTTCCAAGGAGGTCCTAAGAGAACCAGTCAAGGAGGAACTATATGCCCATAAGAAAATACTGGAGCGAGTATCCCAGACATCAGGGTGCCAGCAGGCGCTATCAAGTCTGTACAAGATTAGTAGGATAAGGAATGGAAGCGGATGCGAAGATGATATGCCTTCTAGGGTCTTCAAAAACGTTTTCTTCTAGAAACTTTCCGTTCGGTATATAGGCAAATTGGAGCGCGTTTAATGGCAGTTCCAACATCCACGCCAAAGTGTTTATTAGTGAAGTTCGCGCGATGTACATGTTATAAATTTCTGAACAAGCAAACTCGGATCACACTAAAAAAAACCTTAAATAAATCCGCCTATTTTATTCAATTTAAACCTCAAAAGTTCGGAAGAAATTTTACAAGAATCGCCATTTAATTTCTAAATAAATATAAATTTCTTTCTGTTTCTCTATCATTTATCTTTTTTTGCCTTCATTTCGGCATTTTGAGATAGCCCGAACTGTATAAAATTAAACTCTTAACGCCGGGGCACGATCTTGCACCACAAAACAAGGTCACCTCTCAGTAATGTAACCGCGGTTCCCTCACCACGGCCATGGTCTCGGAGAAATCCCAGGGTATCACAACATAAAAGTAGGTCACGCCTTAGTTAAAGCACCGGGAAATCTCCAAAGTACGACCTCGCACTACAAAACAAGGCCACGCCTTAGTTACGTTACCGGAAAACCACAGATCCAGAATCCAAACCCGCGGCCTTGGTCGAGAATGCAAGGTTACGACCTTGGTGTAAGCCCCAGGACCATGATCTTGGGCCAAAATCATGGTCAGGGCTTAAACGGGCGGAGAGGGGGGGGGGACATGGGCTGCGAGAAAGTGGCTCGATTCTACTACAGTAAATTTGTTCACAAGAATCTTTCTATGTATGTAAGGCTTGTAAGAAAACCTGCTTCTCCTGAAACAGTTCACCTCAAAAAAATTCACTTGATCGAGGTGCATTCATTCTTTGACGTGTATGGAGTTTTCCAATGTGCATATCTTTTTTGCACTTTTTTTGTGCAAATTTTTTTTTTGAGGAGCCAAATATTTGAAGGAAATTGTTCCCTTGAGACGAGATAAATTCTCCTAGGCCCTTTTCGTAATTATAGTTTTTTGAGGACGGAGAGAGGTCAAATTTACCTTTAGAGAACTTACTAGTGTGCATCGAGTTTCCCTATGAGCATATCCACGTCAATTTTCTTGAAAACTATTTTCAGAAATTTCCCTTGCAAGAAGAATTTTCCTGAGGTTTGCAAGTTATTTCGGAGTCGAGTTTTTACAAATTCACTGGAGCAAATTTCGCCATGAGCATAATTCCTTTGGACGAGTTGTTATAAATGAATTTTTCTTTATTCACTTTTTTGCTCCACTTTTCGCAGTGCAACAACTTCTGGACGAATTGGCGTGTAGCGAGTTTTCCTATGAACATGGTTTCATGTAAGCGCACTTTTTAAGAATGTGTGAGTGAGTTGCGATTTGTTCGGCCGCCTGTCTGTCCGTCCGTCCGGACCCACTCCTGCGGTTGCGAACTATTTTGAAAGGAATTGTCCTCAAGTCCTGGAATTTTGTGGAATAGGTAGCCTACACCTTGAAAACGTGCCAGATAGCCTTCAAGGTTGTTATCTGACCTCACTCCTAGATGCATAACTTTTACATGACATAACCAATTTGTCTGAGATTTTGCATACGAAAGCCTCTACGGCTGCCAAATAACATTGTTGGTGTTGTGTGCGTGTGGGATGATTGGGGGGGGGGGGGGGGGTATTTTCTCGTTTTACCCTACATGGTATTCTAGTAAAAGGTCTCATTGAAAAGAATTGGTTCCTAACAAAGTGCAACTTTCTTCGCAACTTCATTTGGATATCAGTAGGTAATGGAGAGGGGTGGGGGTAGAAAATTGTTTTATCTATCGTGTTATTAATGGTAATAAAAAGTATAGGTAGCTTATCTTCAAGTTTTGTTGTCTTACCCCCCCCCCCTGGATGCTGTTTCTGGACCTAAAACGTGCATAACTTTTTCATGAAATAATTCATTTGTCTGAGATTGTGCATACGCAAAGGGGGGGACTCGCTTTACCCTCCATGGTATTGTAATAAAAGGTCTCATCGAAAAGAATTTACAAACTACAACTTTCCTCCACGACTTTAGTTAGTGATCACAGGGTGAGGGGGGTGGGGAGTTTAGAAAATTATTTAATTTTTAGTTCTATTAATGGTAATTTTCTATCAACTACCGACCTTTTCTCTTTCCCCTTATCAAACGGGGTGGTTGACGGTTGAGACGGAGGGGGGTACTCTTACTTCATGGTAGTCTAATGAAAGGTCTCAGTGAAAGAAATTAATTTCTATCAATCACAGTCCTCTCCCATCCCTTATCGTGTGTGAATGTTTTTGAACATCTGCAAATGCCTAGTATTTGGGCGAACATATCCCCGTTTCCTGTAAGCGCACTTTTTAAGGCTTGAAAAAATGTGCAATTGCGGTTCGTTCGGCCGCCTGTCTGTCTGTCCGTCCGTCCGGACCCACTCCTCCAGTTGCAAACTATTTCTAAAGGAATTGTCCTCGAGTCTTGGAATTTTGTGCAATAGGTAGCCTACACCTTGAAAACGTGCCAGATGGCCTTCAAGTTTTGTTGTCTGACCCCCACCCCCACCCCTCCTCTCCTAGATACGGTTTCTGGATCCAAAACGTGCATAAATGTTACATGAAACCAATTTGTCTGAGACATTGCATACGCAAGCCTCTAGGCCAAATAACACTTTTGATAGGGGGGGGGGGGGGGTCGCGGAACGCATTTTCTCGTTTTACCCTACACGGTATTCTAGTAAAAGGTATAATCGAAAGGAATTGGTTCCTACAAAGTACAATTTTCCACCGCGACTTCATTTGGATCCAGTAGGTGATTGAGAGCGGGGGGGAGGGGGTGTTTAGAAAATTGTTTTTTCTTTCATGCTGGTAATGGTAATAAAAATTATAGGTTGACTATCTGCAAGTTTTGTTGTCTGAACCCCCCCCCCCCCCCAGATGCTGTTTCTGTATCTAAAACGTGCATAACTTTTACGTGAAATAAGCAATTTGTCTGAGTTTGTGCATACGCAAGCTTCTACGGCTTCCAAATAAAACTGGGGGGGGGGGGGTCAAAACTCGTTTTACTCTGCATGGTATTCTAATAAAAGGTATTATCGAAAAGAATTTGTTTCTACAAACTACAACTTTCCTCCGCGACTTCATTTAGAGATCACTGGGTGCGGGGAGGGGGGGATAGAACATTGTTTAATCTTTAGTGATATTAACGGTCATTTTCTACCAACTGCCACCCTTTTCTCTTTCCCCTTATCAAAAGGGGGGTTAACGGGGGGAGGGGGTTGTCCTTCATGATACTCTAATGAAAGGTCTCAATGAAAGGAATTAATTTTAACCAATCACAGTGCCCCCCCCCCCCCAATCCCTTATCGTGTGCGAATGTACTTGAAAACCTGCAATTCCCTAGTATTTGGGCGAATATTTCGTTTAGACAGTTTTCTTGAGAGTCGAATGTACCTGTGGGCTGTTTTGCTAATTATAGTTACTTGGGGCCGGGTTAGGGGGGCTAATTTTCGTCGAGAGGTTCAAGGTTCAAATTCATGTCTAGCGGGTCCTTCTAGGGAACTGTTCTCCTGTAAGGTATTTTTCAGGTAAAATTCGCCCTCGAAGTAATTGTAATTCCATCATATTTTGTGGGAAACGCAAATTTCTTCCTATGCAGGTCCAATAGTTTCACTATTAGATCCTGTATATCAAAGTGTTGAATTTGTAAATATTCATCTACTTTTGGTTCCAAAAATGTCAAATTCTTGGAAATGAGAGATTTATTTAAAAACCATGTATGATGTGTTGCCTACTATACGTGATTTTGTCTAAAAACCGAATTTGTTTAGAAATACACCTAAAGATTTACCAGATAGAAACTACCCCTCTTTCTGTCACTCGATTGACACGTAATTTAAATGGAGCACTTTTAAACGAATAGCCACCACCCTAAATAATGACGGTCGATCTATTAGTGAAATTGTAACAGAATCTAAAGATCCAGTACATTCAAAGATCTTACCTTGTGTTCGTGTTATTATTATTGTTGGAAATTGGAGTAGGTGGAGACTTGGTAAGGACGGTGGCCGTTTTGTTTCTAATTCTCGTCGTTTTCTCGACCGTTTGTTGCTGATTATGCTGTTTTTGCTGCTGCCTGCATTTCGCTCGCCGATTCTTAAACCAAACCTGGAAATAAGGTTTAATCCATTTTATTCACGGTGGTGCGTGTTTTTCCTCATAATTAAAAAAAATGAGACGTTTCGACGATTCACTCGTTAAAGGAAACCGAACAAAGTACGGCATAGATACCGGGTATACGACGCTTTTCAGGTTTCCCTGAACTATAATATCACAAAGCCCTATCGATCTTTCAAACGGCCACATGATATCTCTAAATTTCACCTATTTTTTTTCTCTCGATAATTAAATGTTAGGCTTTTTGTGTTTTATTGCTGCGTAATCCGAGGGCGGAAGGCGAAATAAAATAAACATGGTAATTTGGCCGCCCCCATTTGTTAGCTAACAATAGCCGAAAGGCACGACGTGCTCTCGCATTCTCCTCAACAGCTAATAAGTTAACGACCGGTCTACTTTACAATCACCATTCATCCCTTAAATGGATCGTTTTCTAATGGTCGTTAGTGATTTATTACCGGTTACATTGTTAATGTTGTTGAGTTGCGTTTTTGGCCATTGTTACTTTGTTTCTAAGCGCCATTGTCGGTCACACGTACTTTTTTCTTCTTTGCACAAATGCCCCATTAGAGATACTTACTTGAACTCTAGATTCGGGTAGGTTAATTTTCAACGCGACTTCCTCCCTCATAAATATGTCGGGGTAGCGCGTTTTTGCGAAGAGCGCCTCCAATATATCGAGCTGGGCTCGAGTAAACGTCGTCCTTTCTCTTCTCTGCTTCCTTTGATTACCTAAAATCGCAACGTCTATACGCTTTCGAAAACTCGAATTTAACCTCCGGGATATCCCATCGACGAGTGCAACGAGTCGACCGGAAGGCCGTGCAGACCCAATCCGGGAACTGAGTACGGGGTTGATTTTAAGTAGGCCATGCCAGCTGAGGAGCTTCCGCCGCAGGTACTTCCAAATCCCGGAAATGACAATTCCCCCTCCGGATTGCATCTGCAATTACGAAATCTAATTAACATGCGTAGTGGGTAAACCAATCCAAATACAGGATGAATTTTTAAACAGTAGCGGCGAGATGACCAAATTATCCTTCATGTATTACTTTGAGGATAAAGTATAGGTAAAGAAACAAATTATTACGTTTAGTAAGAGAAATAAGGTGCACATGATAAACAAGAGTAAAAAACAAAGCAAGTCCATCATAAGATTCATACACTAAATACCTTCATTTCAGATTTATTTATCGTAACGTCATTTTATTGTGAATTAGAGTACTACTACCCTAGTACATTTCCAATGTTGAGCCTATATTGTTGAGAAATCTCACTTGGAGATACTTTACGTGGTGTAACAGGTGGTCGCTTAGCTGTTTTCAAAAATTTGGTTTTGAATTTGTATTTTGTTCAAAATAGAAAAATTTACACATACACCGCTACATAGCGAACGTGTACAAAAGTATGTCTGGAGATAAAAAGCGATAGCAACAGTGCATTTTCGATAAAGGTGTGCGTTTTCGAGATAAAAGGTTGGTTGGACTGGATTGTAAGGGGGTTGTGGCAGACGAGGTTACACGTTCAAATAGCTAGCACGTATTTTTTGTCTGTGAGAATTTTATTTCCACATAATAACCTAATTTCGCAAACGGTTAATAATAGTCTGAAAAAATTATCAAGTAGCGATAATGTTACCAGTTTTATTTCGAGTGAAAAATTCTAAACAAGAACGTTTATGTTTTATTCGGATCGCTAATAGTAACGACTAGTTAAAAGCCACTGCCTCAAAGTTGAGTGACGTCATTGCAATAAATCAAATTTGGTATACAATCGCATACAGCAAGGAATTTAAATACTATTGACGAATCTCGAAATGTTTCTATTCTGGGTATGGATCAACCTGTTCAGGAAAGTGAAACAATGCCATTTAAGACGATATCTAAAGAAAAGGCAATATGACATGATTCCGGGAAGACGGTATTTAATTTCACTTGGTCCTTGTCAGCCTAAATAAACAAAATTTTGAAAAAATCCGAAATTGAACGTCGTTATCCTTTTATATCGGTATCAAAAAGAATCGCAGCGTTTTGTTTGTAATGTAAACTTTTTCTTTCTAGGTGTAAAATAGACCCCATTCCGATGCTACATATACAGTGTGTCCAAGAATGAACAGCATGGGGAAATCGGAAACCGTAAGAGATACACAGTCAATTAAATTAGAGAAAAGTTGTGTACTTTAGGGCTTAGTAAAATGATGTTTTTAAAATTCGAAAATCCCGATCAGTTACGAAGATAATCGAAAGAAACCGAAATTAGCCATATTGTTTTTATTAGTTTCTGACTGACTGTTTGAAAAGGTATAAAAACAAATAATAATTCCGTAGTCACTGAAAAACTTTCCTATTCCCAATTATAACGGTAGCTTGCTATGTAGTTTTGAATTTGTAATTCAGTTAAGTATAGGTAAATGTACCGCTTCATATGAAAGGTGAACGCTAGTGAGTATAGCAACAAGCAAGAGATAATACGGGCGTATTGATAAAAGCGTCCGCTGTTACTGCGGTGGCTCCCTGGCCAGCTGCGAGATTGCGTAGGGGGGCTAAAAATTCATTTTATCATTGTATTCTAATTAAAGTTCTCAACGAAAAGAACCGTTTTCTACCAACTAAGGCCCTTCTTTCTGTCCTCTTATCACAGTACGGGGTGGATGGGGGGAGAAACAAGTCTTATCCTTCATGGTACTCTAATGAAAGGTCTCAACGAAACGAGTTAATTTCTATCAACCATAGCCCTCCTCCTCGACCTCTTATCATGATCGGGTATATCCCTTATACCTCAAGAACGGATTGTCGGAAGAGGCTACTCACAAAGGGCGATTGAGACGTCTGCAAGAAATATATCCATTGGTGATGTCAAAACAAAAGCTATTTCGGTTAAAAAATGCGCTTTATCTGCACAAGAGTTGTGCACAATTTATACGCTTGTTTCCTTTTCTCATTGTTTTTCCATTCTATTCATTTCCTCCCACTTCCTCCCCGATATTTTCCTTCATTTTTCTCTCCTTTCGTGTCTTCCGTCGCTTTTCTCTTCGATGATCTTTTCTCAAAGTTACCGTAAGAGAGACAGGCACAAATCCCAAAATGTAGTTCTATCGAGTCACAAAAGATTTAAAAAAAATCTCCAAATCTTTGATATTCACATTTGATGTCTACAGTCGATTCTCGTCCAAACCTTCCACTTTCTCCTTGTGAGTACCTTTTCTGACACTTTACGCCTTATCTGCACAAGATTTACGTACAATACAATACAAACGGACAATTGGAATGCGCTTTTGTCTGACGACCAACACGTTGGTTGACGGCTGTTTAAGTTGAGTGGTGTTCATCGGTAATAAATTCAATGTCGGTTTAATTGCAATATCTTTAAGTACTATTTTAGACGATTAACCGGATTTTGTGTATTTCTTGAGTCAATATTGTAGTTTAATCACTTTTCTTTTATTGTGAAGGATAGAAAGTTTGACGGCAGATATGACTCGGCAACTGCTCTGTTAATTCACTCTACTACACCCTCGGCAGTCCGTAGCGCCGCCTCGAACATCCCCGGTCAATTTTACTATTTTTACGAACCTTTGATTCTTAAAAAAAGTCGCTAAGTAGTGGGAAGTCGGTTGTTCCGTCATACGCGTTGAACCGTAAGCGAAGTTAAGTCAACCACCTGTAAATTACAGTGGGGTGCGATTTATTTGCGAAAAGAGGATTCGCGCTTGGAAGTGTTAAGCATTAATTAACTATCTCTAATTTAATGCCTGGTAGTTTTAGGTATATATTAGTGTGTCACCCTACTAACCGAGAGCGAGTTTTACTTTCGGAGAAATCTTGTATTAATACGATAGGGAAGTTAAGTACTTGTAAAACAAAGGGTTTAAACGCGCGAATTAAAGTTTTGATAACCGTCATTTACAAGGGATAACTTTATCTCTCTCTCCCTTTCAATATACATATTTTTAAGTTCATTCCACTAATGGTTTTATTTTCTTAGTTTAGGGTGGGGTTAAGTGGTAGAGCAGTTCTAGGGTGCCTCACCACAGAACTGAATTTCGCCCCGTTAGATTACGGAACATTAATTTCATTTAATTTTAATTATTTAGTTTATTATCTATTTGAATGTTTATTTTATGTTTATATCCTTCTGTACTTCCAGTAATCTAATAAATGTCACTTATTATTATTATTATTATTATTATTAACTTTTACGATTACGCTAAATACGAACAATAGAGGTTTTTCACTCCCGAAGAAATTAAATTCTGTGACTCTAATAACTCGAGAAGAATAGGCGTATTAAATTACATGTTATAGTTCGGCGTACCTCCAGTGGCGTATCTAAATTTTTTGCGTAATCTTTAAATTGCAATAAATTTTAAGGTGCTAACAAAATCACATTATAACTTGAAATTTTTAAAACTAATATGAAAAGAAATATCGTATACCTAAGATTAAGGTTTTACACTAAAATTACAGTATTAGCAAATAAAAATAAACAACTCCAGGTCGAAATGAGTCACAAAGTAAACCAATAATGTTTCAAAAATTGCATTGCCGATTATCGTTCTTACAGTTACAGTTTGTTTAAACTATCTACCAGTTTCAATTTGTTAGCGAACTTATTTTAAACCTTAAAATGTTACCTAAAATAAATATAGCTGCCGCTCCTAACCACTGCGCACCTCTCAACGGTCGATTGTGCGCAAATAATTTTTTATGCGGCATCTATAATTTTGAGTTACCGTAATTTGAACTGCGAATATAAGGTGCCATTCATTATACGAGATCTAGGAATCAATCAGTTGGTTTAGTCGGTACTTCTAGATTGTAATAAGTCAATTCCTTTAAGGGCGTTGGAAATTTAAATTTTTTTATTAGTTAAGTAAGGGAGACCGAAAATGTACTCTAATCGGTTTGAAAAATAAGGAAATTGGCTTTTCATTATTTATCAAGGAAAAGCAAGAAAAGTTGTCACTCCGTAGAGCCTCCCTGAGCATCCAAGGTTAATTCTAATATTTTTCCAAACCTTTGATTCTTAAAAAAAAGTCGCTAAGTAGTGAGAAGTCGGTTGTTCCCGCATACGCGTTGAGCCGTAAGCGAAGTCAAGTTAACCACCTATAAATTACAGTGGGGTGTGATTTATTTGCGAAAAGAGGATTCGCGCTTAGAGGTGTTAAGCATTAATTAACTATCTGTAATTTAGTGCAGGGTGGTTTTAGGTATATTATAGTGTCACCCTACTAACCGAGAGCGAGGAGACATCTTGTATTAATACGGTAGCGAAGTTAAGTATGTGTAAAACAAAAGGTTTAAATGCGCGAATTAAAGTTATTATTATTAAAGTTATGATAACCGTGAATTACAAGGCATCACTTTTACTATTACGGTAGATACAAACAATAAAGGTTTTACACCCCCGAAGAAATTAAATTCTGTGACTCCAATAACTCGATAATCATTTCGTCCAACCTCAGTAGGTTCTTCCCCCAACTGAAAATTTTCAACTAAAACTGCAGTAAGAGATTGTCAATTCTGGTATAAGTAGATATGGTTAACAAGCATAGATACCCGTTAGTTAAATTATTGGGTAAAATCATAGATACATATCTATTGAAATAAATAAAAAAGGTGCCGCCAATGCAGACGTTCCGTATTGAAACAGAAAAAGAGGTGAATATTTAAATCAGCGGGACTGGTAGCCATTTTGAATAAATAAACATCATCTCTCTGCCTACCTGAATGGGCCAAATGGCCTTAATACACATGTTAGGCAAACAAGCGATTAGAATCCGTAGGTAGGTACCAGATTCACTTTTAGATTAGAATAAATGATCATTAACTAAATGCTTGTTAGATTTAAGCACGTGCGTTTGTTTGCTTTGATGTTTATTCAACACAATGGCGGTCGGCGTAATCGTTTCCGATTTCAATCGTCATTTTTCCCCCGCGCCGT